AATTTATCTCTAATATTGTATTTTATTAAGTCTAATAATACATTTTTCTAAAATAAAAAAAGTTACATAATGAAAGTATTTGCACAATAATAATAATAAACAAGAAAAAAGTGGAAAAGTCATTTGATGATTATTATTGACTTTGGCTCTGACGACGATTTAGGAAAACGGTGATTAGACATTAAAGATAAATCATTTTCTGTTCCTCATATTTCAGTTTTAGACATTTATTTTGTACCATTTAAATCTAAATGTTGGCATTAGTGTGTAAGAGCAGGAATGCCTTGCTAATGGGCATCCTGTTCACACCAAAATCTCTATCATCTGACACACGAATTATTACAAAAAAATGACGTTTTTCCATTATTAATTTTTAATTCCATCACTTCCACCCCAACCCCACCCCTCACCTCTGCTAAAAACCCAGACTAAGCACAAGGAGGCTGGAAGGGAGGGGGAGGTAGGGGAGTGTCGGCCTCCTGTCGGCGTGGCAACAGCCTCCGTGTCAACGCCTCCCCGTGGGAACCGCCTGTCAAACACAAAGGTTGCGCCACATCTGCATAATCATTAGAGCGGCGACAGGAAGTCGTTCTGGGAAACGATCAATGTTGTTTTAAAGAACCTTAAAAAAACACAAAGACTGAAAAAAATAAAACTTCTCCAAGTGTCCCAGAGAAGATTTAGTGTCCGGTCCCGGAGAACGGTTGCGCCGGAGTGGGAACGCCGGGTTCACAACCAGAACCCGAGCCACACTTGGAGGGAGGCAAAGGGACGGAGAACTAGAAGAAGTTGGAATCTACAAACTGATGCTTACGAGACGCTTTGAGACTGAAAACATAAATAAATACGACCATCTGTAAAATGATCCAGTATCACAGACCTCAGTCATCTGGTCATTCCAGTTTCATCCAACTGGGATGAGGATTAGCACCTCCTAAACCAAACCCTAACGAACTCAGGCCGAGGGAGAGGTCCAACCTCAGGACGAGGCCTTTAAAGATCTACAGGTGAGGAGGAGATGGACAGGAGGACTGGTCCATCCAGGTTGAGTAAAACCCAGAAGAAGGGTGGCTGAGCTCAGCCTTAGGGAGGGGGAGGAGCTTGGGAGTCCTTATCCTCCTCATCGACAGAAGCTGAGGTGGTCTGAGCTCCTTGTGGAAGGGAAATCCCTGGATTTCACTGGAGGAGCTGCAGGAGGTGGCTGGGGAGTAGAAGGTCTGGAGATCCTAACAGGACGACAACAACAGACAAGTCCCCAACCCCTCCCAAAGTTATCCCACATCTCCCAGTTCCTGGTGAGTTCAGGAGCTCCTGGTTTAGGCTCTTCTGGTTTTATTATTGTGATGGGTTAAAAACGCTGATTATAAAAGAATAAAGGATAAAGAATAAGAAGTCTGAAAGACAACTTTGGGACACGGGAGAGGAGGCGGTGGTGGAGGAGGAGAAAACAAAGCAAATGAGGAGAATAAAAGAAAAGCAGAGAAAAAGAGATGGAAGAAAGAAGAAAAGTGATGATGAGGCAAAGGAGAGGGGAGAGAGCCCTCCACTATCAGCAGATAAGAGGCAGAAACAGATGAATCCTATTGGCCGGCGAGCTTCATCCTGCCTCTTATCTCCTCGCCTTCATCAACTCGGAACACATTTCATAGAAATTTGCGAAATCAGGAAAGCTGCGTATCATGTCATCGATCACCGGGCGGGCGGCGCCAGCCCATACATCCTCCCGGCTTCACAATAAAAGCCACAATTGTCACTTTTTTAAAAAGAAAAGTTTCTCAACAATTATAATCTGTAGCAGCTTCAAGGCCAAAGAGTTTCATGTCCAAAATAATCCCAGCTGATCAAGCAGCTCCGTGACCAACCTCTGGCTGAGGTTACACTATAAAAATGTTCTGTTGGCTTTACTCACATCTTTACATTCAGGAAGTAAAAATAAATGCTGCTTTTATTGTATTTTTGACCATTTTGACCAGAGAGACTTTGGGGAAACACTGACGCTGGAGCACACTTGTTTTCACACTTAGCCAAATGTTTCCCAACGCTCTGAAATGTCCCACACAGTCCACCGGACACCAACACGACACTCCGGTTGACATTCCTGCCACCGATTTTAGCTGGTTTGTTTTTCTCTGTATGTAAATAAATATTTTTAAATGTGAATTTGGTGTCTGGATGTTTATTCTGAGGCGACTTTATTAGAACATGCTAAAATATTTTTAACGTTCTTCCAGAATAAATCAAACCTTCTGTGGAAATGATTGGAACTTTTGTCCTTTGCTTTTACTTTTCAGAGTTTTGTTAGAAACAGAAACTTGACTGATCTCCGGCTCACCTGCGAGGGTTTGGTGAGTAACCTGTAACGTTTTAATTCAGTTAGTCTCAGACGTGTGCGGCGTGTGCATGACAAACTGGTCCAATTTCAGGCGTGTCATGGTGCACGGCTGATATTTGTCTCCCTGCCTTTGGAGTTATTTTGCCCCTTTTCCTCTTTTTTTTTTTTAAGTTTCTCCGCAGATTTGAATCGGCAGGAGGGCCGCGGTCGGTCCGTTCCTCCTCTGACAGCACAGAAATAATTACAGTACAACCTCGCCTGTTGTTATATTAGCTGCCTTATCGGGCTGCCGGGGCGGTCGTTGATCAACTAAGGTCACTGTATCCTGACCACGGCACAACAGCTACACGGTTATTTGGAGATATGATAAATAAAAGCTTCAACAAGACTCTTATCAGCTCCTGAGTGCTTTTTGTTCTGCTTTCTTTGCTCCCTGCACCTCCTCTGTGTCTCTAGAGGAAAAGAGGAGAAAGTTAAAGATGAAGAGAATATTTGATTTTTAAATGATGAGCTAAAAGATTACATTCCTCTATATGAATTTAAAGCAGAGAAGATGAGTGTGTTTTAGATTACATGCAAAGCTATTTATCTATTTGCCAACCCTGCGAGATAAGGTATGAGTGTTGTTGTAAATGCAGCCACATTATTCTAACAACGGGGTCGCAGACAGCAGCGCTGGTGAGAGCAGAGATAATAGATGCACCTACATTATCCTGAGGTGGCGGGGAAACTGAGGGGTTAGCAGGGTGAGCAGGAAAGATGTGCCTACATTATTATAAAGCCAGATTGATAGTGACGGAGGTCGAGGCGGAGGGTGTAAAAATAAATACATCTACATTATTCTGGAGTCATGTGAGAGCGAGAGGTTAGACTGAGCCAGGAAAACAGATGCAGGGGCATTATTCTTTAGTAAAAGTGAAAATTTTTAGGGGTGGAGGTGAAGCTGGAAAACTGTATGCACCATTATTCTTCAGTTAAAGTGATAGTGGGAAGTTAAGGAGGCAGGTTTCCAGAGATTACGCTCAACCTGAAAGAGATAGAAGAAACACAGAGAGCTGCTAAAGACAAATACCAGAAATAAACCATGAGATCACACATTTATATTTATCTTCTTTTACATGAAATGTTTGTGGGACACTATTAAAAAAAATCCTATTTATTAGCTAACAAACTTGAGCGACAGACAGGGAGCCTATAGTCTACTTCCGGATCACGGTCCCCAGAAAAACGAAAAATGAATGCAAGTCAACGGGGCTAAAAACGCTATTTTCTAATCCCGCTTGTTGCATGCCATCGATTTCACATATGATGTCCGTGAATTTTAAAGACACATTCTAATACCAAGAACGTGCTTATTTTCTAACGGGAGGAAACAGTGTTTTAAGTTTTGTGTGAAAAGAAGTCCAGGACTACAAATGCACATTACCAAATTTACATCGTTGAACCAGACACGGAGAAGCGCAGAGGAAAAGTGGCTAAGTACAGCGAGCTTCGAATCAGAAGGAAAAAAACCCACCATAAATCTGGTCATGTGGTGAGTAGCAGCTACGCTAGGGGGAGGAGATTCTGGGTGATGTCATGCAACATGCGTCTGATTTTTAGTCCTAGTATTTACACATTTTTACAAGCTGCTAAATCTCTAAGTACGTGACAGTCCTGGTCGAAACACACATCATTACAGTTTAAATAAAAAACAATGATTCAGGGCGAAAGGCAAAGTGGATTAGAAAATAGCTCTTTCAGCCCCATTGACTTGTTTCATTTTTTTCATTCTTCTGGACCGTGAGCCAACCGGAAGGGGAGGAGCCATAGGCCCCTATTTCGTTAGAAACAGTGGTAAATTATTCATGTCACGGCAGGGCATTTTTTAAATGACTAAACTGGATAAATTCTTCAAGTAAATCCTGCAGTGAAGAATCTTAATAAAGTCAGATAATTGTTGGCCTTGTCTGGAGAAACCTATGACAGCTAGTCGATGCTGTCGCCGCCATGATGCAAAGTACCGGAGTCCGGTTGTGACAGCTCGGCCTTTCTGTTTGGTTCAGTTAATGCAGAGCTGATCTGAGGTCTTCTGTCAGCCTCCAGATAATAAAACAAATACATGAAATAAAAGTAGAGGAGAGCCAACAGGTGGCAGGAGGTCCAGATGCAAAAAGGAGATCACATATTTGTCAAGGGACTTATTTTATGTTAAAATTAAATAAACCAGCTTCGTTTCAAATTAATCCAATTTAACAATATATAATTAATAATTAGGTTTGTCAAAAATGATTTGTAAGATCCAACTTTATTTACGGAGATTTTTATCTCATTACTCTTGAAATATTTTCACTTTATCATTTTTAAAAAACAATAAATCAATTTCTTCAGATTTTCATCGTAATTTTCTTTTGTCTAAAAATCAGTCAAATGTATTTCTTCTTAAATTACATTTTATTAGACCAACATAGATGCAATTTAATCAAACTACTTTCATGAAAGGAAATTCAAGCTTTTTAAAAATGTTTGAAGCGATTGTTAGAAAACAAGCAAAAATCGACTATTTGTTGATGCATTACATTTAGATGATAATTTTATTTATATAGAAAGTTCAGAAACAAAAAGCATCAACTGTTTTTTTTATGATTTTCTGATTTATAAAAAGCAGAATTAATTCAGGAGTCAAACGGAGGATGAGATACATTCTTTATTAAATCATCAGCTCCGCAACACAAAACCAAACAGAAGCTTTTCAACAGATCTCAAATCCAGAACTTCTGTCAAAGTATAAAATCAAATCAGCAGAATCACACTGGAGCTTTGTCCTCTCAACCATCAGTCATTGGCAAAATGAGGAAATCAACAGTTCGAGGGATTTCAGACTGAAACAGGTGGAAAAAAAAAACATTACAAAAATCAAAAATACTTCCAGGTCTTTCAGTTTTTAGGAAACACGTTAGTTTTAGTTCCTTTGTGATTTGGACTGAAATGTGCTTTAAATTCAACCCACAGTTGTGCAGAATTTACAACCGAACATTAAAAACTGCAGTTTTCACATTAATCAGCAAAAATGAAAACAAAAATACAACATCTGGATTCAGGCTTAGGGACAGACTTCGACAATCTTTGACCTCCTCTGGAAACTCAAACCAGAAGAAACCAGGCAGATTCTTCGGTGTTGCCATCACTTTCGATCATACAGCAACAAAAACAGGCTCTTATTATAAAAATAAGACAGGAAGTGAAGCAGGATGTGCTGGGAAACACGACTTCATAAAATTAACGAGGAAACTTGAAATCAGTCATTCTTTAACACAGATCCGATCCTCATTTCAAGAGTCCAAATGATTTGATGGGTCGTTTTTAGGATTTGAGACAAAAAATACAAACAAACAAACAGTAAAATCAGTCAGAAGTTGGCGTTTCATTCAAGTTGTATCGCTTCTCTTTGCTTTCCTATTTTAAGTGCTGTAAAAAGGAAAAATTACAAATTTCTGATTTGAAGTTTTATTTGAAATAATAAATTCTTAATTTGTCTGCGAATATTTAAAAAATCTGTCGAACACTGAAAGCTTTTATCTGACTCGGTGAGAATGTCTTATTTTTGTATATTTTAGGATAAATTCATGAAAATAGAAATGAAAACTGAACATATGACAGATTTAGTTCACTCTGCTTTGTTCTCATGTTTTTTGTAGTTGTTATGAAAATGGGATTTTGACTCATTTGACACATTTATTTACTTAATCATTTGAACCTGAGCAGCCTATAACTCCTACATGCCGATGCACCAAACACCATTCTTGGTTCGTGTGGAGATTACCAGATTAGGAGTTTGAACTCAATAATCCTTTAATTTAGTGAAACTGTAATCCCTGACTAATCATTAGAATAAGAAGAGAATAAAAAAAAAAGAAATTGGAAACTGAGTGTAACTGCAAAAAAAGAAAAGAAAAAAAAAGCTGATTTTCAATCTTCTCGCCAGGTTTTTCAGCAGGTGCATCATGGGTAGTGTGGTCAGTCTATGAGATGGCCTTGGCTTCGGGTAAAAAGGCTTCCCAGTATTTAATCAGCTGCAGAAAGAAACACAGAAAATAATGAAAGAGCTTCAGTTGAAATAATGTTTCATGAAAAATTTAATACTAAAACTATTTAAATTTGATTTCTTTTATGCTCGATTCCAAAATCCTTTTATTTAGATTTTAATTACACATTTCTTTATCTTAAAAAGTTGTGTTAAAGTATTTAAACTAATCCTGTTTTTTATTGGTTTGATATTCAGAATAATCGACTTCATCCCTCATCAGCCAGCTGCAAACTCAAAGAACAGATTTATTTCTTTTCCATCCATCCACCCATCCTCTTCCGCTTATCCGGGGTCGGTTCATGGGAGCAGCAGCCTGAGAGAGTCCCAGACTTCCCTCTCCCCAGCCACTTGGACCACTTTTTTCAGATAGGTAATACAAGACTGCCCATCAGAAATACAAAATCCAGTATTTTCCCTGGTCTTTGAACTAACCAACGCAGGATTTTAATCCAGAATCAGAATCCTTTCAGTCGATCAGTTTACTTATTTTCAGGGATTCAGTTATTTATACTTGCAGATAAATCGGTATTGGCCCTCAGACCCAGGAGCGGTGAACCTTTAGTTACCTGCTGTTGCGTTTGGACCAGCGACTCCAGGTATTTAACAATGATGGTTTTGAAGTCCTTCACTCGTTCTTTCTGTTGAAAGTGGAAACAGATTTTTTATGAAAACAGGAAATCGATTTTCTCTACAGCCATCGACCGCGCTCCATCACTCCAGTGGTTTTTGTCTTCTCACCTCAAACCTGCCAACTTCTTTTCGGATGATTTTGGAAATTTGCTCAAAGTCTCGTTCTCCCTGCTGGACTTTTCCCTCCAACTAAATCACAAAAAAAAACACAGTAAATATTCAAACTTTGTGTGTACACCAGGGGTGTCAAACTCAAATTCACACTGGGCTGAAATAAAATCTGGGACGAAGTCGCGGGCCAAACGTAATTTTTTTTAAAGTGACAGCAAATTTGCACATTTTCTTTATAAACATATTTAGAACCTTTTAATTTGGAAACAAACATATTTTTGCATTAAAACTGAATGTGGAATAACCAAATTACAAACGAGCAAGTCCATTTTAAATAAAACACATCAGTGGTATTCATTACTTGTGGTATAATCAGCATTTTTAAAATCTATTCAGGATTTATGTTTTCTTGTTGTTTATTTATTTTTCTTATTTTTTATTCTCCTTTTTTCTCCTGTTATACGTGTCATCGCTGCTGTGATGTCTAGCTTTCCCCACTGAGGAGCAATAAAGGGATTTTCTATTCTATTCATCTATCTGCAGCCTTTCCACTTCCTGTTTACTGTAGGTTAAATCTTTTCTCACGGGCCAACAACAAAATAAAAATATCATTTTATCTTAAATGAAAATGCAACATCTCATCTGTTAACTTTCATGTTTTGGAGCAGAAAAAGAGCATAAAACCTAAATACTTAAAGCTCAGTTGGTCCACTGGTTTACTGTGATGCTCACCTGTTCCAGCCAGATACCTGCATCATGGGGTTGATCTGAGCTGAGGAGGAGACTCCTGTTGTTTTGTTCATCTTCATCATAATAATGACAACAGGTGCTCACATAGGTTTGTGCTGCTGAACATGTCTGAGCAGCTGGACCACATTGTTGTGGGTCGGGGAGGAAAAATAAAAACTACAGCAGCCACAGAGTCATGCTGGTTTGAGCGTGTCGCTGCTCGCTGGAGTTATATCAGCTCTGTCTGGAAGTTAGTTGGAAAACTTTCTCTCTCAGTCATGAACACATTACTGAGCGGTTAAAATCTCCGTTTCTGGGCTTCAACATCGGCAAATAGCTGAGTAAACTCGGCGCTGAGCGAGAGGAGTGTTTAGTTTGTCCGAGACAGCAGAGCTGCAGACACCGGCAGCAGACACTGGAAAAAACACAAAGGAGTGGGCGCTTCCGCTCCGCGCTAACGCCGCAAAGCATCATGGGAGTTGTAATCTTTGCGGTAAAATCGGCCAGCAGGTCAGTTTTAATATATTTTTGATATTTATCTTGTGGGCCAAATAAAAATGCTCCGCGGGCCAGATGCCTTGTGTCTGACACATGTGGTGTACATGAACCTTTAATTGACCCTTTGCACCGATGTCACCTAATCACGTGGGTCCACCATGCTGGACGGCAAAAGCATGTGAACAGTGAGCGACACGATTACTAAACAAAGGGAAAAGTAGAGCCTGAAATTATTTTTGCAATCAAAACAAAAACAAAACTCCTCCAGCATTCCTTCAACTAGTTCATGCCCAGTTCAGTTATCAGAAGAAGTAGCGCATCTAGCGGGGCTCATAGAGAGCGGTATGTTAACTAGATTACCAGCGTTAGCTTACGTTCTCTCTGCAGCTGTTCACTGATGTAAACATGTTGCTGACTTTGCCTAAATTCAGCCCGCTGGATTTATAACATTATGTTATGAACAGCGTTTCACTTTACACCAAAGATGATTTTAAAAAAGTCTGGATCCCTACCAGCTTCTGTTGCTGGTGGTGTTACCGGGTTCAGCTGCTGCTCTCACACCGGAATGAGAAGATGTCTGAACGCCGACGCTCATAAATAAATAACGCAATTTTAACACAAGTAAACATACGTCGGAGCTTTAATATTTTTAATAATTGTCTCGCTTTACACTACAGTGGACGGAGCGCAGCCTCCGTGGTGAAATACCCATCCATCAGGATTATCAATAACTAGTATAAACAAACATCACATTTATCTTCGTGAAAAATATGAACGTTAATCTTACCCGGTAAAAACATGTTCGCTGCAAATCTGAGGCCTGCTAGTCCGCTTGATTGATCGCTGCAGTTCATCTCATGTTCAAGTGGCAGCGGCAGCTATAAGCAAACAGTTTACTCAACTGGCCACTCCTGAACATTCGCTACCACAAACTCCTTCTAGCCCAACCATCTCAAGCCCTACAGCTTCATTTTCATCTTTCTCCTCTCTCAGTGAGAACTGTGTGTCCAAGTTTCTCACGTGCAGCCGCCCTACTACGTGCCCACTTGACCCCATTCCGACTAAGCTGCTCCAAGCTATTGCTCCTACAGTAGCCGCAGCAGTCACACATGTGATTAACGCTTCACTGACATCCGGTACATTTCCCTCCTCTCTCAGGCATGCTAAGGTTAAACCGCTGCTAAAAAAAAAAAACATCTCTTCCTCCAAATCATGTGGAGAACTACTGACCTATCTCTCTCCTCCCTTTTCTGTCCAAAATCATTGAAGGGGTGGCTTTCAAGAAGATCACAGAATACCTCTCACAAAACTGTCTGGGTTCAACAAGGTTCACTCCACTGAAACTGCTCTGTTAGCAGTGACGGAATCCTTAAAAGAAGCTAGAGCGACAGGCAAATCCTCAGTGCTTATCCTGCTCGACTTATCGGCTGCATTTGACACTGTCAACCATGGCTTACTTTTGTCCACACTCTCTAGCATGGGCAAAACAGAGAAAGCACATGCCTGGTTTGAATCGTACCTCACAGGATGATCATTCAGTGCATCTTGGCTTGGACAATCCTCTACCGTGCACCATCTTGCCACAGGAGTCCCCCAGGGCTCTGTCCTAGGACCCCTTCTCTTTGCCATATACACCATCTCACTAGGTGAGATCATTCGATCACATGGCTTCTCCTACCACTGCTATGCAGACGACACCCAGCTCTATCTGTCATTTCCACCGGACGACCACACTGTCTCTGCACGAATATCAAACTGTCTCTCTGACATATCAAAATGGATGAAATCCCACCATCTCCAATTCAACCTCTCTAAAACTGAACTACTTGTCATCCCAGCAAAACCATCCATACAGCACAATATCTCAATCCAAAATGACTTCCTATCTCTGGCTCCTTCAAAGGCAGTTTGAAATCTGGGTGTTGTGATTAATGGAACACCTGACCTTTAAAGATCTTGTTGCCTCTGTTGCTCGTTCATGCCGCTTTGCGCTGTATAACATACGAAAGATCAGACCATACCTAACACAACATGCCACCCGCTCCTGGTGCAATCTACTGTCATCTCCTGCCTCGATTACTGCAATGCCCTTCTAACTGGTCTTCCAGGCTGTACTGTGAGACCTCTTCAAATGGTCCAGAACGCAGCGGCGCGTCTGGGCTTCAATCAGCCAAAAAGAGCACACGTCACTCCTTTGTTCAGTGAGCTCCACTGGTTACCGCTAGCTGCACGCATCAAATTCAAATAGCTAACTCTAGCATACAAAGTCCGAGATGGTACGGCTCCCATCTACCTGAATCCTCTTGCAAAGGCTTACGTCTCGGCCCGGCCGCTCCGGTCATCACAGGATCGTCGGCTAGCAGTGCCTACACCACGCTCAGGACAATCCAGACTCTTCTCATGCATCGTTCCACAAATGTGGAATGACCTTCCAAGCACTACCAGAACTGCGGCTTCCTTTTCAATTTTCAAGAAACTCCAGAAGACCCTGCTCTTCAGAGAGCATCTTCTAAACTAGCACCCTCCCTGCACCCGTCCCTCCTCTCTACTGTCCACTCCTTGTTCCCTCCTCTCCATGATTGATGTCAAGTTGTTGTTATTGTTGTTGTTAGCCTCAAGGGCAACATGCCGATTATCACTTGTAAGTCGCTTTGGACAAAAGCGTCTGTTAAATACATAAACACATAAACACAGCTCTGTCCTCAGTCTCCATCAGAGTTATTAAAAAAACAAAACGAGTTGAGTTTACATCCTCGCCTGTTAGTGCAGCCAACCACGCAGCAAGCTAAAACCATTTTACTGTCAAATCAACTAAATAAAAGCCATAAAAGGCTACAAACTGGCTTGTTTTGACTAGCTTCACTTGAGTTTCAACGGGTGTAAAGAGTCTTTCTGCCATCCAACATGGCGAAAGCGGCGGTCTCATGAGTGATGTGATGTCACGTGCAAAGGGTCAATAGACATGGTGTGATTCACCCGTTAGCATTAGCTCGCAGTTTTAAGCCTAGGCTTTAATTAGTCCGACGATTGTTACGCATGTTCTGGTGGGACTCTGAAAAGGCCTGCGTTCGTATGCTTTAGTGGAAAATCTGTTCTAATCAACTACAAATATAAAAATACAAAAGGCAGATTTTTAAAGCTGTTCAAGGTCAACATTTAACTGAGTTAATAGCTGGGTCAGGGACAAGGACCAGTACATGAACCGGTCAATGGAACATGTTTTGAGTTTGGTATAGAAAAACAATTCTATAGTTAAATCATTTTATATAAAAATGGCAGAAATAAAAACTAATATTATAATAATTACATTTTTTATGTTTTATTACTGTACTTATCCTCACCCCACTGGCCTGATTAGCCATGCCCCACTGAGCACTATTGTTTTAATATGATTTTTAAGGTTGACATAAACAAAAACCTGTTCTGGAATCACGGAGCTCCGGGAATTAAACAGTCATATGGAAAAGTTTAAAGAGCTAGTCACCCCAAATCCATTTTTTTGACTGATTTACGGTATAAATGAGTAACAGTGACGTAAACATACTCATTGTGGCTTTTTAGGGCATCTTCTCTCAAATGTAAATATTCTGCCTAAAACAGTCACTGTCAAACCCTCTTCAAGTCAAAAGTGTGCATCACACTTGAATATGAATCATCCAGTGCTATTGGCTCAGAAGTGATGTGTGACGTTAAAGAGACACATTTTCATATTTTTTAATCATTTTCTTGCGTATGTGCTAAAATAACTGCTGTCGGTCCGGTCTGTTGGACTTGGAGCTGCCAAGCCTGGAGCTACAGTCTGCTTCCGGCACGTTTCCTGCATGTTTTATATCACGAACGCAGCCGATTTGTTTCCTTTAGTGATGAATAACTCCTGTGGAGAAGGATGGGAAGACGTTTCGGCTGTTAGATTTAGGTGTTAAAAAGACGAACGCTCAGCAAGAAGATGGGTTTTGCTTTCGGTTCTACAAACAGACACTAGGGGGTGCTAAATGCAAGCCTAAACTGCCTTGTCTTCCTTTAACAGGTTTTTTAACGTGGATGTACTGCAGCTGAGTCTCAGCCATGCAAGCCTGGCAAGCTCTGCACTGGTTCCCACGGCAACTCGCGAGCCGATACAAAATGATGCGGCTCTGTGCCGCTCGTTTCCGAAATAAAACTTCCTCATTTTCCTGTCGTAAAGGAGGTGGAGAGAAATGCTTCAGACTGGGAAGCTTGCTGCTGTTTCTCCATCTGAGCAGGAAGAGGGAGAATTAAGTGTGTTTGTTAGCAGCTCATTTCCTCCAACGGAGAATCTCCGAGCTAAGGAGGGCTGTCGGTCACTGGTGCAGCGCTGCCCTCTCGGCCTGCCAGGTAACACCTCCTTTTGGTGCATTTTTCAAACTGGAAGTATGGGAGGAGTCTGGTAGGGGGTGACTTACTCTTTAAGTCCTCATAAAATCAGACTCAGAATTTCTGACATTTATAAAGTAGCTTTTCATTACGGATTCTTTCAAATTTCTTGGAACATACATAGAAACATTATCCTGGTTTCCGAAACCAAAACTTTATCCAATGAAATGAAAGCTGATTAGAAATTCAGCAGGGCTGACTCTGATTGGCTGGTGCTGGAACCGACCAATCAGAGCAGACTGGGCTTTTAGGGAGGAGCTTCACTCATTTGTTCTTCTACCAAAAACAAACTTAAATTATACTTTTGTGTCTGTTTTACAGGGACTTGAAGATTTAATGACATTTTTGGAGGTTTGTCATCTTCACTTAAAACTAATTGATGTGACAGGAGATAAAAAAACAATAAAAACCAAACAGAGAAAAATGATGATGTTAAACTAAAGAAACGAAGCAAACGGAAGGCATGAAGCAGACAGCCAGGACACGGACAGACAAACAGACAGACGGGGAAGGTCCTACCTCCTCAATCTCCTGGGTCGGGACGGCATGGCAAGAAAATGCAACAGAATTTAAGAGGCTGAAAAATAAACGTCAGAACTTCCAAAATCAAAGAGGAAGTTCCATAAATGAGCAAACAGTGAAGAGAAAGAAAATCGGGAAAGGGATGAAAATCCTCCTTCAAATGCAAAAATCTGGTTTTTCTTCGGGGCCCTTGAAGGCACCGATGCTAAGCAGCAGCAAAAGTCCAACATCATCATCAGTCGGTGAACTCGGCATCGCTACGAGCTAATTAATGCTAAGTTTTACTGCCAGAATCAGGATTTTATTTAATATTCTTTAGGGTGAATCAGGAGATCGGAGCTGAAAACTACAGATACTCTAGTTTCATCATCATCATCATCATCATCAGTCTCAATATTAATATTATCCACGTTATTTTAATTTAATTAACTGCTCCACAGATTATGTTTTACTCTGGTTATAATTACTTATGATAATATTATAAACAATGAACTTGTGCAGCTGCAAACCAAACTTTTCTATTTATGAGACAACAGACAAAAATCGGATTTTCCCTCCTACACGACATGGAAAGGTGACTGGATTAGAAATGCCATTTCTATTTTTATTAAGGGGCTCAATTTGATTAGAAGCAAAAACTAAAACACGTGCGTGTTAAACCTCCAGCTGGAAGGCTTTTCATCCCAGTAAAACTAAGTTTTCCTGCTTTCTGTTCTAATTAAAAAAAAAACACGAAATGATTTAATAGGATGTTCTCACATTTTTTTTTTGATCTTTTAAATAATTTTTTAACTATGCCCTCTGCTTTACAGTCAGCCCTCTCACCACGTGGATAATGAATGTAACACAGTTTAATTAATTCAATACTTTTAATTTAGATTGATCCTCTGACACGTTTAAACAGATTGCAGTGCAGCTGCAGATCCATCTTTCAGCCCACAGGGGGCAGTGTGGGTTAATAGTTGGAGCAGCTTAACAATGAAGTTTAGTTATTATAAAAGATATTAAGAGTTTTTTAATGTTTTGTTTTTTGCATTAAAGCAGAAAAACGAGTAAATGTGAAAAACAACAACAGCTATTTATTAAACCAGATCCCACAGATGGACAGAATTCCCTAGATCATGTACAAAAGACCATTTTTAACTCTAATAAGTGCAGCTATATCTGAGGATTGGTTTTGCTTTATTAAAATATTTGGGAATTCTAATTAAAATTTAGCCCATTTTTGACTAATCTGATCATTACTGTAGTGAATGAACACATTAATAATTAAAACAAACTCGTAAATAATCTTAATAAGCTTTAAATCCTCACACACAATCAAGCTCAGCTCATAAAATCTGATTTCAAGTTTCCGGGTTCACCGATTCAGGACAGCAGATGTATCTACGATCCGATGAAGAGGTGGGATTTCTGCAGCAGCAACAAGCTCAGCTCTTATGAGGGTTTTCTGTTGCTTGTTGTTGAACAACAAACCAAAACCCGACCCCTGACAGGCGGGGAAACTCTCGTCGGCTCCAGATAAACGCTGGTTGTAACTCTACTGCGATCTGTCCTGGTCTGCAGCCTCTGACAGCCTTCCTCCCCCCTAAAACTCCCCCGTTCTTCTCCCAAACGCGGCTCCTGACAGCAGCTCAGACCGCCGACCACGATGTGTGTGTGTGTGTGTATCCTGACAGATGAATTTGTGTGGTGACAGCTTCAACAGATGCTCTAATAAAGTACTTTTCGACTCTGCTGTTTGTCGTTCTGAGAACAGAAGAGAAGTTTTCACTTGACTGAGCCGAGTTTGAGTTTATTTAACTGACTGGAGATCAGCTGCAGACTCCTGGAGTGTAAAAATGTGTTTTATCTCCTTTTAACCAGGAGAGGAGCTCCTCGGTGCTAACAGCTACGTGCTAAATGTGCAACACCCGTTTCCACAACGCTCTTTAACAGGATTAGTACTTTCCTCTAGCGTCCGTTTCATTTAAGACTTCTGCCCTCTGGTGGACAATCTGTGTCCTGCAGCTGGTGGTCCTTGTATTTTTGTCATGTTGCTGAATAGTTCTGTTTTCACTCATCTGTGACAGAAGCACAACTAAGATGAAAAGATACAGGAAATAGACCGAATTACGATTCCAGAACCGTTAAAACGGTTTTACGTCCAAGTATCGTCTGAACAACAACAACAATAAACTGAAGCTCGTTCATGACAGGACAAATTAGTGTGGACTCTTACCCGAATGAAAGCGAACCTCAGTCAAAAATCAAATGCTCAGTTATGTTTTTTTTTTTTAAACGAGCCGGACCAGACGAGGGGTTCTGACTGGCCCGGCAGCGACCCGTTGGGTCCAGCTCACCTCTTTGATCTCGTCTTTGGCCTGCTGAAGTTTGTCGGGCTTGTTGGTGAACTGGAGTTTGGCTTCGGCTTCTCGTTTCTTCAGCAGCAGAACCTGACTGTCCTGCCACTTCTGCCACGTCTTTATGCGGTGATCGAACACACCCTGGAAATACACACAATTTCAAAATAAAAGTCTACAAAAACCTTTATTCCCTTTAAAAAAAAACTAATCCTAAAAAAAATAAAATAAAAATAAAGCTCCAAATCCCCCGATCCACCCTGAACTCTGATAAAAGGTTGTTACTGGTTTAGCGGCCGTAGCGCTCGTACCTTGACGGCGGTGATCAGGCGGACGTAATCGCCTAGCAGCTCAGAGAATAGGTAGAAGTCGGCGTTGGCCTGGTCCTGATGCAGCTGATCGATCTTCTCTTCCACCTCGGCCAGCTGGGACAAAGCCCGGGACAGAGCCGTGTGGTCCTCGCTGTTCCCCAACATGGCTGCCGACTTGGCGAACTGAGCCGTGTTCACAGACAGCTCTGGAAATGAGACGGAGAACGCCACGATGCTTAAACGCAACATTTCCTTTAAATGGTTTCATGTTTACAGACGAAGCGCTGTGATGGGTTTTATTTAAAGATGCTTTTATTGTGGTGACAGGAAGTGTACCTTTCCTGTGACACACCAGAGACTCCACGCTGGCGTGAAGTTTCCTCAGCTGGACGTCCAGATTCTCAAAGTGTTGTTGCTTCTCCTCGAACCACTTAAACACAAACCAGATGTTTGAACTTTGACCTCCAGAGACAGTCCAACAGATTCACTTTTCAGATCTTAAATTAATTCTGAACTTTAGCTTTGAGTAAACGTTTAAACTGCATTTTCGTTCCTTTTGTTTTTGTATTTTTCACTTCTTTTCCACTCATTTTATCCCGTTTGTTTTTTTCTCAGATCTTTTTTATTCTTTCCTGTATTTTTCCTTCTTTTCTCACTTCCTGTTTCCTTTTTAACCCTTTCCTTCCCTGTCTTCCCTACTGCATGAGGTTTTCCTTCCCTTAATCCCTGTCCTTTCTCTGCTTCCCATCCCTCCCAGACTTTCTCCTTTTTTCCGGAGACTCACGGCGTCAGACTCGTTCATCTTGATGGTCATCTTGTTGACGGCGTCGGCGGCTTTATTGACCATCCTCAGAATCCCGGCGCTGCTCAGAGCCTGAGTGTTGACGGCCCTCGGCAGCTAAACAACAAACAAACAGAGGAAGGTTTGTGAGTTTCTGAGATTTTTAGGCTCTCGCTTCATTCAGTTCTGTCTTGTTTGTGTCTGACCCCCATGTTTGTAATGTCCCTCACGTTTCGGGTCCAATCAGCATTAATGCAGCAGCTTTATGTGCCGAGCAGATTTAGCAGCAAAAACCGACACAGAACCAAACGGCATTGGTCTGAAAACAACCCGCCGTCCATCTGAAAACAGCCTCATTTTTCTTCATTTTGGGAAAGTTTACTTTTCTCCGGACACGCCAGCCCCCCCCTCCCCGATCTAATTTAAAAGGAGCGGCGACAGCCGGGGGCTGGTGGCGTCCCCAGGGCCCTCGGTGGATAAGGGGACGAAGTATGTTACCGGAGGTAGGGGGGTGGGGGTCGAACGGATTTAAACTGCAGTCAGTCTCACACACACACACACACACACACACACACACACACACACACACACACACACACACACACACACACACACACACACACACACACACACACACACACACACACACACACACACACACACACACACACACACACACACACACACACACACACACACACACACACACACACACACACGGTTGGTTGCGTTTCATTAACCGGTCCAGACGGTCAAACGTCCGACTGATTCATCTGTTAAATCGGTGACACAAAGTCATTTATTCTAGTTCTCACAACTCAATTCTACACCTGTATGTGTGTGTGTGTGTGTGTGTGTGTGTGTGTGTGTGTTGGGGGGGGGGGGGGGGGGGGGGGTAATCTGAGCCATCGAACAGAGGAAACAGATTCCCTACCGACCTTTTTCAGACGTGTTCGACCTCTCCAGGATGTTTCCAGAGAAATAAATAAAACCCAAAAAGACTTTTTTGGGTTTTATTTCCAGAGGAAACTGTTCCGGCGCGTCCGAGTGACTTTAGAGGTAAAACTCTGGTTGGGCCTTCGGGGTGAATGTGGGCTCTTTTGGAGGACGGAGAATTACAGATGCACCCGTTATGGATTTGGTACCACAGGTGAAACTGTGAAAAGCGACTCTGGAGCTAAAGTCCATCCTCTCAGAACATCTAAAGCAGCTCTCCAACCTTTTTGACCCGTGAGCTACTGCCGTGCGGCTTTCCATGTGCTTGTTAAAAACGCTACACTTACTGCATAAACATGCTTTGTATGCACAAGTCGATTCGTCTGTATTTAAATGCATCAATATTATAAAAAAACTGCAAGGAAAAAAGTGACATTCTGAACATCTAATTAAACAAAACATTTAGTTTTTTACCTAATCAGACACGTTCAGGTAATGAAACTTAAATCTACGTTGTGTGAATGAGTTGACATTGTTAGAATGGATCAGCAGCAAACCGGTTCCTGTTTGGTTACCCTAACCATCCTGACCCGGTGCCCTGCCCTAGGCAGATATGTCACTTTTCACGGCTCATTTGTGCCATAAATGATTAAAAACTTCCAAAAACTATTAAAACTATTTAATGAACATTTAATGTTCTTTAAAACAAACAATACAAAACAAATTTTCTATAAAACGAATAAAAGCGAAGGTATTTTTTTAAAAATACGAGCTAAATGTGATGAAAACACTAAATTCTTCCTGCTTTCCTGATTTAATCACTTTCATGTTTTTTTTGCTCGTGAAAGTCACGTTTCGCTTCACTAGTGAACAACTACAGGTAGGTGGGGATTTTTCTCCGTGGGTGTGATGGCTTTGTGCAACACGGGCGTGTGTGTGTGTGTGTTTTATTACTAAATGAGACAACCGACTCTGAAATTTTTAACCTTTCCACAACATCCTAATTGTCTGAGATGTTGAACGTGTGGTTTCCATCAGCTGGAAGCCGTAATCATCACTATCAGTGGTGGCGCCGGGGGGCGCTATAGCTTCCACTGGATTAGTCATTGCACCCCCAAGTAAATATTAGATTTTATTTCACAATTTAACTTTAATTTAACGTGTGGATGTGATAATATTTAACATACAAAACAAAAATAATCAGTAAATTATATCGTCGTCGTCTTCCTCCGCTGATCCGGGTCCGGGTCGCGGGGGCAGCATCCCAACTAGGGAGCTCCAGACCGTCCTCTCCCCGGCCACCTCCACCAGCTCCTCCGGCAGGACTCCAAGGCGTTCCCGGACAAGATTGGAGATGTAACCTCTCCAACGTGTCCTGGGTCGACCCGGGGGCCTCCTGCCGGCAGGACATGCCCGAAACACCTCCCCAGGGAGGCGTCCAGGAGGCGTCCTGACCAGATGCCCAAACCACCTCAACTGACTCCTTTCGATCCGGAGGAGCAGCGGTTCTACTCCGAGTCCCTCCCGAATGTCCGAGCTCCTCACCCTATCTCTAAGGCTGAGCCCGGCCACCCTACGGAGGAGACTCATTTCGGCCGCTTGTATCCGCGATCTCGTTCTTTCGGTCATTACCCAAAGCTCATGACCATAGGTGAGGATTGGGACGTAGATCGACCGGTAAATCGAGAGCCTGGCTTTCTGGCTCAGCTCCCTCTTCACCACGACAGATCGGCTCAGCGTCCGCATCACTGCAGACGCCGAACCAATCCGCCTGTCGATCTCCCGATCCCTCCTACCCTCACTCGTGAACAAGACCCCGAGATACTTAAACTCCTCCACTTGAGGTAGGACCTCTCCCCCGACCCGGAGTTGGCAAGCCACCCTTTTCCGGTCGAGAACCATGGTCTCAGATTTGGAGGTGCTGATCCTCATCATATAGATAGTAAAAACTTAAACCAAAACAGGAAATTGATGTTAAACTTTGACCTCATTTTCCACCTGTGAACGAGTGAAAGATGGATCGGTTTTTGTTGCCCAAATTTCCACGGGTTCAGTCAGGAACGAATGAATCTTTGGAAGTGATCTCAGACCCACAAAAACCTACGGATCTGGATGAAGAGGCAACCCTCAACCGCCGCAGTAGTCCAGGGTTTTGCCGCTGGAAATGCTAACGCTAACGTTAGCTAACCTTGCAACACTATAGACGGTTTTCTGTGTGGCTGTATGTGTTTATGATTTCATGGAAAAGTCAGCGATTGTTCATGTGTTTATGATGTATATTAATGATTGTTTCAGGTGTTGTTGAGGTGTTGTGCACGCATGTGTATCTGCTAGTGTTGAAGGTGTTCTAGAGAACAATAGGTACGCATGACCACTTCCTTCATAGCACCCTCAACAAAAAGACTAGCTCCTTCATAGCACCTGCAGAAAAACATTTCTGGAGCCGCCACTGATCACTATTAAAACAAATAAAGGCTGAAACATCTAGATTTGAATGGAAGGACTCAAACAGCTCGTCTCACACAAGCAGAGACCATGGACGTGTCTTCTGTGGACTCGAGTCCAAGTACGGCTTTGGAACAAACGGACCTCGGGTTCTCCTCAAACTCTACTTTTGTTTTAATTCACAAACATCCGGTCCGTCGATCAGCAGCTGATACCAGAACACTCCACGCCTGCTCCATCCTTGTCCGGCGCTCTGGTTAGCTGCTATGCTACCTTCAAATGTGCTGAATGAATAAAGATGGCACGGTTGTTAAAAGCCCAGACAGCTGGACCCGATTGTGTTATTCAGGTAAACAAATCCGCTTGCGGGAGTTTCTAAGTTCAGAACCTGATTGGACCCAAACGGTTTTGTTGATTTCCTGCAGTGATGCGTTGAAGAAGGGACACGACAGCAGAGGTTCTGTTGGAGGTCCGACGGTAATGAGCCGGTTTGAGATTCACCTCAGAGTTCTCCAGGAACTGCAGGACGTCGGGATCCTTCAGCAGGATGGGATGCTTCACTGTCCTCATCAGATACCTGAAACAGGAAGGAAACCACTTCAGTCTCATGACGAGGCTGTTTCTGGTCCGATGACCCGGTGGGCCGCTGGTATGAGGCAGCCGATTGTGCCACGAAGTCTGAACCAAATAAAGTTTTTTCAGGTCGATAAACGTCCAGCTGCAGATCCGAGGAGGAACTCGGGTTTGTTTACCGTTACAGAGGCGAGTTAGTGTTTCTGCTCCAAAACCCAAACCTGCAGCGCCTAACCTCGGGCTTTAATGGACCCAATCCACATCCAGCACCAGAACCAGGAGCTGAGCAGATTTTTAGCACCAGATCAGATCTGTCTACTGTTGACTTACGTTCTACGTTGTGCTGCAACACGCCACCAAATTCATCCAATCATATTCTTCCCTTTGGAGCAGGGGGCAGGCTCAAGGAGACCAATAGCCAATGAAAATGTTTACGATGCTTCTGATCTCCGAGTTAGTTTCACTTTTACTCAGATTAGTTGAAGACGAAATCCTCGGCTCGCGTGTTTAGAAGAAGTTGGATTAGCAGGAATAGCAGCAGCTGATTGGCTCTCAGCTTCCTGGTGTTTTTGTATGAATACTCTTCCAAACACCGGTTACAAACAGCGTGGACTTGTTTGTCACCAACTAGTGACACAAACATACGCATCAATGAAGAGCGTTCACAAACACGCTGATGAGACGCTTTGGTCTGTGGCGATGTCTCCCTAGACTGTGATCCTCTCCACAAACGCATGCTCTGATGAGGCTCGGCACATCTGAGCAGCGTTAATGGAGCCAGAAGCGCATGAGGGTGATGAAAGAGCTTCAGCGTCGATGCAGATTAAGCTACAGCTCTAGATGTTCACGCACCAAAAGCAGCAGGAAACACTTTTATTTTTTTACATTTTGTGTTTTTAGTCATGTGGAAAAAAAGACGCCCAGCTTCCAAAACCAGAAGCTTTTTCTCTCCAAAAACTTATAGTTTTTCCAGTGGAACAGACGGCTCACAGCTCCGATCGGCTGATCGGGGCCTCCAACTCCACCAAACCACCAGGACCAAACCAGCCTTGAGCTCCTAGTTAAAGGGACATTATGGAAGTGTGACAGCCAAAACATGTATAGAAATAATAAATGTCTTCTTCATACATTCTCCTGCAATGCCCTGGTCCTGTAGAATGAGCCCTGGCATTTTTACTGTGATTGCCTGTTTTTCTGTAAAACCACAGAAAAAGAGAGCTGCTCGGGTCGAGCAGGCTGCTTCATGCGCGTTCACGCTCAGGCATCGCCCGTAGCATTTGCTATCCGTAGCTTTAGCAGCAGAGAGAGAGGCAGTGCCACTTTGTCGCTGTTCCTAACGCCTAGTGACAAAGCTAGCTACATTTCTGAGGACCCTTAGCTACTTTCTGTAGAACTTTCTTCTAGATATTTCCTGCAAATTAGCAACAAAATAGCCATTTTCACTCCGAACCGTTCTTTGAACGTTGTTTCAGCTGTCATCAAGGATATAAATGTTACAGATACAAAGACGTCACTGGCGCTTTAGCTCAGCTAGTAAGACGTCGGAATCTCGTGCAGAAGACCTGGGTTTGATTCTGGACGTGAACATAATTTATTTAGAGTTTCTTTTTTACATTAATGGTATATTTTTTTACAGTAAGATGCCCAAATTTTTATTTGAGAATCGCCGAACGGCATTGAATTCACAGATAAAAAAGATGTGGGTTCAACTTTCATTTTGGAACAATTTTTCAAGCAAGGGAAGGGAATGATCTGAGCATGCAGGAGGACTGATCCATCATAAACCTTTGTCGGCTGTGCTGAAGAGAAAGGTACAGAACCACATTATTTAATTAATTAGCTGCATGTTCTCCTGTCCTCTGTCCCCCCCCACACACACACACGGGGGGGACTGTCTCAGCTGTTATTTTCGTTAAGGAGTGTGCACGTACAGCATGCGAGCCTCGTACACGAGCCTACTATTGAAGCTGCCATTACGCTTTTGGCCTGAGGGGGCAATCGCGAGCATAAAAATTCAAAAGTCCGTAAAGTCCCTTTAATGAGGTTTGTAGCTTCATATTTCAGGGCCCTCGTTTATCTAACCTTCATAGAAACGGTCCTATTTTCCTTCCTACGAATTAAATTTAGAATGTGTGAACGAACGGACGAAAACCTGATTCACCAAACCTGCGGTGGCCTCTCGCACGCACGTTCCTCCGCGCTCGTCTGATGAGAAATCCCACCTGTGCGTTCCGAGCCGTTTACATACAGAAACGCTCTCAATTAACCATATTTGGTCATGCTACGTCCTCAGCACGTGAGGGAATTCCCAGTTTTTTTCCACGGAAAAATAAAAAAATACTTTATTGACAGCGAGATCGAGACACTGGCTGCCGAAGCGCAAAAGACCCAAACGAGTAGCAGAGGTTAGAAACGCGGTCAGGACTAAATACAAGAATGAATCTGATAAATCGAGGAGTAACGGGTCAAGGAGTCGTTCTGTTTGGAGTTAAGTTTCATTTGCAAACGTCTGAGAGTGCAGCTGTCATTCCGCCTGGTTACCACGGCAACGGGAGCAGAAGAGGTTCTGGTGGGTTCTCTGGTTGTAAAATAAAACATGAACTGGAATCGGATTTGTGAGGTTTGTCTGTCGCTCCACAAAGTCCCGAATCCCAGCACAGCAGAAGGATTAGAGATCAGAGCGCTCCCTCCGGAGAGCACGCCGCTAAATCCTCCAGCAACAGATTCGTTACGATAAAACGTCAGACTCCCGTCGGTCACACGTCTCTTATTGGTTTTATCACCAATGATGCGAAATGTGATTGCTTAACGGGTGAAACCGTTTATGGATGAGGAACACGCGTGGACCTTCAGCACTGCGGTTCCCCCGTTCTACCACTAGATGCCGTTCCTGCACACGGTCAGAGCTGCTCCGGTATGTAGGAACATCTCCACACACAAGCACAAATAGCTACATGCGTAACACTGTTCCTACGTACGAAACACGCAGAGATCTGTCGGTAAGTACGGGGCTCCGAGAGCAGCTCTGGGCTACGGCATCAGGTTAGTCTTCAGATCAACTAACGTCCAAACAGGAAATCAATGACGTGTTTTTAGTTTACGTCTCAAAGCCAAATCTGGAGCAGTTTTTGTTGCCCAACAGTAAATGTGTGTGTTTTCTCATTAACCCTATCTGTGTCCATCAGTGTGAAGTTCTGCTGCTCTGAGCTCCATCAGCTGTCACCTGCTGACCTTCCCATCAATCCAACCGCACCAGTAAAGGGCAGCAGAAGGTCAGCCCCCCCCCCCCCCCAGCTCATGGGTACTCCGCAGCAACACGAGGACGTGTGCTGTGATAATGGTGCATCTAATATTTGGAGGTTAACCTTTTGGCCCCCAGCAGGAGCGCTCACGCCCTACAAACTGTTTTAATGCTTTTCCTCCTCCTCATACCTCTCCAGAGCCGACCTCCTCTTCTCCACAAACTCGTTAGACGACTGGTCCTCCTTCCCCACCTTCACCTTCGTCATTCCTGCAGGACAGGTGGTCAACATGAAAGACCTTTTTCTACATCGTACCAGATCATAAAAGTCAGCGTTTAAACTCAAGTTTGAACACAAACAGGGTCATGGACCCCTCACACCCCCCCTCGGGTGGCTTCCTTTCTTCAGCTGAATGAAGATAAGACTGAGATCCTCATCTGTGCCTCAGACAAGCTGGTTCCCAAAGTCAGGGACACTCTTGGTCAGCTTGCTTCTCACACCAAACCTTCTGTCAGGAATCTTGGCGTGACCTTTGACCCAGCTGTCACCCTGGATTCTCAAGTCAGTTCTCTTGTTCGCTCTTCCTTCTTCCATCTCAGGAACATTGCTAAGCTGAGTCCCATTCTGTCCCACTCTGAACTTGAGAGTTATCCACACCTTCATCTCCTCACGCTTAGACTACTGTAACTCTCTTTTCACGTGTCTGAGCAGAACCTCCCTGAACCGTCTACAGGTGGTTCAGAACGCCTGTGCTCGGCTTCTGACCAAGTCCTCCAAACACACCCACATCACCCCGCTTCTCCTCCAGCTTCACTGGCTGCCAGTCAACTTCAGGGTTCATTTCAAGATCCTGGTTCTGCTCTATAGGGCCTTACATGGACAAGCACCATCTTACACTGGTGATCTTCTTAGTCCCTACACCCCCATCAGGTCCCTGAGGTCCAGTGGCCAAAGCCTACTGGTTGTGCAGCACCAGGCTAAAGGTCAAAGGTGACAAATCATCTGGACCTCTCTCCCCCTGAGCCTGAGATCAGTGGACTCAGTGGTCTCCTTTAAACTCACCTGTTCAGGCTTTGGTGGGACCTTCATCACCACCCTCTACCTTCCGACTTTCGCAGGATCCACTGACTTCACCATTTCCTATTCATTTTCTCTCTCCCTTTCTTTACATTTTTATCAAAATTTTAATATTTTTTTCATTCTAAACGCATCTAAAAAAAATTTTTTTTTTGTTTGTTTTTTGTGAAGCGCCTCGTGATTTTTATCTTGAGAGGCGTTACGTAAAAGTTTGTTTTCTTTCTTTCCCTTTGCTTCTGCCGGAACCGGAAGCCCACATGACCAGAGGAAACGAGACGGCGCTAAACACCAGTCACCGTTTTCCAGCTCCAAACGTCTTTTGTTGTCCGTGACTTCAGACGGTGATTTTCTCTTTGGGACTCTGGTAGTTTGTCCTAAAGCTGAAGCGGTAGCAGCCGGCTGTTTCTCCTCCTCTGATGTTGTTGAGAGGAGAACCTCTAACACCAGTGGTGTTCAGGTGCTCAGTACGTGAGTGCGGGATGAGTGGAGGACCCAGGGAGGTGTGGCGGTTCGGTAAAACTGACACCCGGATGGTCCAACGGTTGGTTCTGGTCTGAAACGTGTTGTTCGTGGAGGTTTTTAGACAAATGCAAGAGAACCACTTCATTTTTTCTCTCCACAAAATATTTACAGCTGTACTGTTAGAACGTTGTTAGGAGCCATGAAGAAAAAAGGGTTTAAGCTAACAGCTTTAACAGCTGCTGTGGCTCTGGGGGTAAAACAAGGTTGTTGGTTTGATTCCTGCACCTGTCAGAGGAAATCCAGAAACACTGACCCATTATTGGGCGGGAACGGTGGGGTACAGTTTTAACCTGAAGCCTAAACTAACCCCCAAATTCCACTACCTCCGCTCCGGTCCACCCCCGCCTTCCGCAGCCGCTCGCTTCCGAACTCAATTTTTCTTGGTACCCGCTCTACAACGGCTCCGCTCCGGTGCGGAGACCTGAGGTGGGCAAACAAGCATGCGCGGGATTTTCGAGATCTTGCGATACAGTCCGAGCAATAAACGCGGAAGTTAGATCCAAACACCCGTTGTGTGGGAGAAGCATCGGCATGAACTGTTTAATCTGCCCATCATTTGGGTTGAGAGATCAGCAGTGTTTGGATCAACAAACTTTGATAGTGGAAACTGTATTTATGGCTTACTTTTGTGCATTTAAAGTTCAGCCGCCATTGATAGTTGTTAAAAGTTGTTAAACCTGTGCATATGAAACAAAAAACGCTTTTTGTTTATCGATTTATTGTGAAATAACGGAAATTGTGCTTGCTCCCTTTCCTGTTGGGCCGTTGTAATTTCTGTCAATTGACTGCGGAGGTGCTCCGGCGTCCGGCGAAAATAGGATCGATTCTATTTTTGCCGGACGCCGGAACAGAGGGCGGAGCACGGCGCCGCACTGCCGGAGCACGGCCGCAGTAGTGGAATTGCTCGATTGACTACAACGGGACCGATTTTGCTCCGGCGTTCGTGTCGGAGCGGAGCGGAGGTAGTGGAATTTGGGGGTTATGCTATGCTAATGTTCCTTACTGTGACGTCACAATCGAGGACCTTTTGAAACGTCTCGCGTAACCAAACATCAACAGAAACGGATGGTTTTTATTTCCATTTGGAGCCTTTCTAGAGGCAGCAGAAGGTGAGTTTCGCATCATTTGTTCCCTTTATTAAACATCTTCATCCTGTTTGAGAGAAAATGTCACCGTTCTAGAAATGCAACCTTTGGACACCTGCTTTTAACGACTGTGTAAACATCGCAACAAAGTCCTCAGATTCAGACGAGGAAAACCATCTGCGGGTTAAACTGACCCGACCAGCTCCATTTTCTTACCCACGATGCTCTTCTCTGGGGCGGGGGGGACGATGTAGCCTATGTGAAGATACTTGGACGCCAGTTTACTGTGCAGACCCAGAAAGTCGCTGAAACGCCTTTTAACGGAGAAGTCTCTCTGCTTGAACACGGACAAGGAGGTCTGTGGAGGATTAGGAGGTAATTCAGATTAGATCAGCAACAATCCTGAAATAAACCAACCTCAGATGTCAAAGTAGAACCGTTTTGGTTTTATTATGTGGAACGCGTCGGTTTCACGTGAAAGGTTTTATTTTAGGGTTTAAAGAGACAGAATCCTCCAAAAAACACAACTAAAAAAAACAACGTTTAGAATAAAATCTCACCTTCGTCGAGACTTTATAGGCCATGTACGCGTTCATCCCGTCACCTGGGTGAAAACATGAAAACAAATACTTTATGTCCTTTTCTGTGTCGAAATGTAGAAAATATTCGGCTTAGTTTAAACCAACAGAAACGTGGAGGTTCGTCGGCTGATGACTGCTGGAGCCTCTGGGGGGCGCCACCACGGCTCTGATGCTCTTTTTAATCACACGAGAAAACAAATGACTGACGTTGTGAAAATAATAAACGAGCGTTTGTTTCTCATCGAACCCAAAATCCAGTTTCCTGTGATTTTAATCCCAACTGGTTTTAGTTTTGCCGACCTGCTAGTTGGACCCGAACGTGACGAAACTAGTCGTTTAACCGTGTTTCGTTTACAACAAAGAAGAAACATGGTGTAACGACCTTAAGTGACCCGGAAACGGGAAGTCTGTTCAACTGCTGGAAGGGATTCCTTCTTCTGGGTTAGGAAATATTTCATGAATAAATAAAACCAAATAAATCTGGATTTGTAGTAAAATTCTCCTGATGGTGAAATACAAAATGATTTAAAAAGAAACAAACAAAAGTAGAGTTGTGATGTTGGGATGAACCAAAAATTACACAAATGCCTTGCCATAATTACTTCAAAGCATTACATGACTCAACAGCTTGCCATACCTTTGGCATCCCTCTCCTAGCTGCACCGGCTCATCAGCTGATCAGAGCCCCTCGGGTCTCTAATCTCCGGCAGGTCATTCTGATTTTTATGCCGATTGGTCGGAGAATTTTTACTTCCTGTTTTTAATCGCAGCTCAAAGTTTTAACGACGACCAGCTGTGACTTCACCAACCCGCCACAGAACGACCCGCGTCTGCCTCTAGCCATTAACAACAGGGGCTGATGGGAAATGTGGTCCTACCGAGTGACTGAATCACTTCTATGTCACAAACCTTTTCCACCTATTTCTGTAATTCCAGGGATTTCCTTGTTTTTCCAGAAGGACTGAGATTATCCGATCGGCGAGCACTCACCGACTTTCTCAGGGTCAGACACCGATATGTGTACGTCGAAGGAGTCGCCGCCCTCCTCCTCTTCAATCTACGGTAAACAGAGGAAAAAAAACATAGTTTAAAAAACAAAAATCAGCTGTAATCTGCTCAAATGAAGTAGTGTGTGTGTGTTAGGGCTGCAACAAACGATTATTTGGATAATCGATTAATCGGATGGGGTCTCGACACGATTAATCGATTAATCGGATTACATAGGGACATTTTTAAAAACTGCCAGGGAAACGTTATTTTTCTCCTTCCTTCACTTTATTAAACACAACATTATTAGAAAACAGTTCAATAGCAGAAAAACAACATGCCATCACCTAAATTGTCTTATAAGGCGTATAGACAGAGACCCTAAGCTACATCTATCTGTGACCTAAAATGCTTGGTCCAAGTTAAACAGCTTAAAGAGCAAGTCAACCCCTACCAGAGTCTAACTCCACTCCCGCTTCATGTTTGAAAAATGCAACACATGCTGTTGCCTGGCAGACCGAGAGGGCGGAGCCGCTAACAAATACACACACACTCAGGCTCACGACAGCATTGTGACATCATAATGTACCAGTTTACATCATAGCATACTTCTTAGCCAATAGCGGTGGCAGATTTAAATTAAAATACAGTGCAGAGTTTTTACCTGACAACGGCACAACACTGCCAGTTTTAGGCAGAATATTTAAATTTTAACTAAGATGCACTGAAGTGCCAAATTATTGACGACACGTGTCTGCAGCACGATTAGACACTTGTTTATTTAGTTTATCAGCAAAAAAAAGTTTATTTGGGGGTGACTTGCTCTTTAAGGGCAATTCTCATCTGTTTTGTTTGATCTCATCTGTAGACATTTATTATAATTGGGGATGTCAAACAACTAATTTTTAAATGTAATTAAACATAGGCTGTGAATTAATCAAAATTAATCACTATTTCCAAAAATGACTGAAAAATACCAAATAAAACAAAAGTAAATGAATGCCATCCTCCTTGCGATGATGCCCTGGGCAACTGCCATACAGTCACATCAAGAGATGCTGCTGATCATTCCAATGATCCCAAATAGACTCACATTAGGCCACATGAAAGCAACTGAACCCAAAAATATATTAACCAGTATATAACTGCACTCTCACACAACACGCCTGCAGCAACAGTTAGGACTCCTCCCTCCCTTTTAAAAGCGTTTTTGCTTCTGAGGACATTGTGGTTGTAAAACCACACGCTAGTAGTCTGGCCCCGGTGTGATCAACCAGTTTCTGCGGGAATGTGACGGCGGAACCGGTTCGCAGCGGCGCGAGTCCCCCCCCCCCCCCCCCCCCCGACTATCAAATAGCGTCGCGCTTACAATTTTATAGACTTTTTTTACGAGCTTAGGGCATGTCTAGCCTGTGTAATAATCCGGGGCTTGGGTGAATCACTTTTGAAAAGATTTTAACTTACCCGGACACCGAGCTCTCTCCTTCCTCGCTGATGATTCTGACATGCTTGCGTTTAAGACGCTGCATCATCACCGTAGTATCCCCGTGCCATGCTAAGTCTGACCTACAAACGATGTCTTCGCCTGATTTAACTGAAAATGCTCCCAAACTTTAGAAGTTTTAACTTTTTTGGGGTCTCGCTGCTTCTGCCATGTTCCTCTTACAAACACCTGCCGGCTCTCCACCGGTCTGCGCGCAACGGCGGGCGGGAGGGGAGGGGGCTTTTGGAAGAGTTGCGCAACACAACGAATCGATGACGCAATTCGTTGCCAACGCTTTTAGTAATCGATTTTCATCGAATTCATCGATTCGTTGTTGCAGCCCTAGTGTGTGTGTGTGTGTGTGTGTGTGTGGTTACTTCATCAAACGAAGAGTGAGTGAACATGTCGTCGTGGGCGTGGCCTATACGAGGGGCGATAACAGAGGTAGGAGGCGTGATGGGGGTGATGGCAGGGGACGGGCCGTCCGACAGCAGGACGTCTCTCTCTGGACTGTCCAGCGACACCTCCTCCGTCGCCCCTGCATGAAGCAGCAAGGTGAGTCAAGAAGAAAAACAGCCTTTCAAGATAAAAATAAAACGCTTCACAAGCGCAACTAAATGTAAATTCATTCAAACACAAGAAAACAAATAAAAATGGAGTCTGAAATTTTTCTGAAATGTTAGAAACACCAGCAGCAAAAGAGGAATCGACAGGAGACAACACGTAGAAAAAAGAAGGTGGATTTTTTTATTTTGGGAAAAAGTCCTATTGGCTTACTTAAAGGGGCGGAGCTTGAGCTTGTAAAGCCACTAGGGGGCAGTTAGGTTGTATTTGAATAATTCAGATTTCAGACATACCGAGACTTTTATTTTACGTTGTTGTGTTGTGTGAGTAAGTGTGTGTGTGTGTGTGTATGTGCGTGCGAGTGGGTAAGTGTGTGTGCGAGTGTGTGAGTGTATGTGTGTGCGCGTGAGTGGGTAAGTGTGTGTGTGTGTGTGCGTGTGTGTGTGTGTGTGTGTGTGTGTGTGTGTGTGTGTGTGTGTGTATGTGTTTGTGTAGGTGTGTGTAGGTGTGCGTGTGTGTGTGTGTGTGTGTGTGTATGCGTTTGTGTAGGTGTGTGTAGGTGTGCGTGTGTGTGTGTGTGTGTGTGTGTGTGTGTGTGTGTGTGTGTGTGTGTGTGTGTGTGTGTATGTGTTTGTGTAGGTGTAGGTGTGTGTGTGTGTGTGTGTGTGTGTGTATGTGTTTGTGTAGGTGTGTGTAGGTGTGCGTGTGTGTGTGTGTGTGTGTGTGTGTGTATGCATTTGTGTAGGTGTGTGTAGGTGTGCGTGTGTGTGTGTGTGTGTGTGTGTGTGTGTGTGTGTGTTTGTGTAGGTGTGTGTAGGTGTGCGTGTGTGTGTGTGTGTGTGTGTGTGTGTGTGCGTGTCCCACCTGCGAACAGATCCTCGGGATCGTCGTCCATCAGTGAGTCCTGTTTGGGTCCGTTTGAGTTGGTGCTGATGTCGAGCGCGGGCAGACTGGCAGGTTGAGGCTAAAACACAAAACCGACATTTGACTCGTTCAGCAGATTAAAACAGATGAACTTAAATGAAACACAAAGCGTTAAAAGTTTATGTCGGAGAAGCTAACGTGAGCTGAAACCTGTTGGAACCAGACTCAAACACGAGTCACTAAATGCACCACAAACGGGATGATGGGTAGAATGTTGTTGTTGTGAGTTTGAATGGAGACTAAAACGTTTGACAGGTTCCTCAGCTGAGTCGGTGGTGATAGAACCCGTTTATGGTCATTATTTAAAGGTGTGGTTCTCTCCTGTATTTTATTACATTTGCAGCGGTCTCTAGTAGGAAGGAAGGAACGAATGAATGCCTTGGAAGCTGTTCTCTGGGTACAAAAAGCCCTGGTGGGCCCGTTTCAGAATACAGAACATCACCAGATCAGAGGATCTGGAGTCTTACTTCCTGATGTATGGACGTCTCTCCTCTGATTGGCTAACAGCAACACGACTCTACCAATTACCGTTTGCTCTGCAACGCTGATGTTTTATCTCCAATAACACAAGCCTGGAGGAGTTCTGCTGTGTGGTGGAGTTGCTAATGCTAACAGTTAGCTTCTACTAGCAGAGATGTTCTGTTGTTTCCTGGACTAAACCAGCAACAACCTTCCCCGTCGTGAGTCCAGATGGGTGAGTCCATGAATGTTGGTGACAGGGTGACGTGGATCTGTCAGGATTTTCTATCCAAGAGTTTCACCGTCTGTTTTCTACCAGAAGCTAACGCTGGAGATAGGTGTAGGAGACTTTTTTCATGTTCAGCCTGCATGAAACACTCAGAGTGACCCGTTAGCATCAGAAATAATTAATAAAACATGTTTTTCAGTGTTCCACACATTTAGGTACACAATACGGGACAAAATCTGAAACTTGGAAAATATGAAAGTTGGAGAAAAACTAAAGGAAGCCAACAGCAGAGCAGCCGAAACGACGGAGCGGTAGCCGATAAAACAAACTTATTCTACAGAAACAAAAAAAAAATAGCTTCACTGGTCCGTGGGAGGAGGAACCGGTCCATCCCAGCTCCGTCCAGTGAAACCACACCCTCAAACCCAGTAAGGACCGAACCATTCACCCAACGGACTGGAAACCTTTAGTAAAACAGAATAAATGTCCCCGCAAAAAAAGAAGAAACCTAATTTATCCTGAACTTTGAGTCAAGTTTCACCCAAGGAGGAGAAAAGGTCCTGAAAAAGGGTAGAAATCTAATTTAAAGAAGAAGTTGACCCGGTTCTGCTGCAGAACTCGACTGGATTTGTTGTTCCGTTTATTATTATTATAATAATTGTTGTAACTGAGGATTTTTGTGTGTTTTTACTGAGTAAAAGATAAAATCAGGAGTAAAACTAAACATCTGCAGAAACACAATCAGAGAAAAGGAAGGATGGAGGGAAGTTAGCCGAGGGGCCAGAAAAAAGAGAAGAGGAAGCAAGTGATGATAACGGACAGCTTCCTGTGTTCTTACTCAGCAAAGAGCGACGGAAACGGACGAGAAGATTCACCCGGCCCTCGTTACAAAGGACTCGTCATCAGGAGAGTCCGAGCGACCAACGTTAAACCCGAGTCAAGTTCAGCGTGGAGAGAGGAGCTAAAGACACACACAAACCACACATCCACACACACACACACACATGCACGCGCACCCACTCACTCACATGCATACACACACACTCTCTCACACACACGCATGGACGCACACACGCACACATATGCATGCACACACTCACACAAACGCATGCATACCCACTCACTCACTCACACGCATATGCACGCATGCACGCACGCACACACACACACTCACACAAACGCATGCATACCCACTCACTCACTCACACGCATATGCACGCATGCACGCACGCACACACACACACTTACACAAACACATGCATGCACCCACTCACTCGCTCACATGCATACGCACACACACACGCGCACCCACTCACTCACACGCATACGCACGCACACACACCCACTCACTCACACGCATACGTACGCATGCAAGCACGCACACACACTCACTCACACAAACACATGCATGCACACCCACTCAAATGCTTACGCACGCACGCAAGCACATACACACACACGCACCCACTCACTCACACGCATACGCACGCACACACACACAAACACATGCAAGCACACCCACTCACTCACTCACATGCATACGCAAGTGCACGCACACACACACAAAGTTATTGTTGAGAAACTACAGGAAAAAAAAATCTGAGTGCTGACTCGACAAAAAACACTGAATCTGGCTTCTTGTGTGTGTGTGTGTGTGTGTGTGTGTGTGTGTGTGTGTGTGTGTGTGTGTGTGTGTGTGTGTGTGTGTGTGTGTGTGTGTGTGTGAATAAACAACATGGGGAAAATAAACACAACAAAATGGAGCAAACAACAGAAACATAAAGACAAAGACTAAAAGGTAGAATCAGGCTAAAGAATCCCAAACGAACATTTCCCAGGATTCACTGCAGATTTGATCCGAGCTTCCTGTTCATGAATGTTTTCGGGTTTTAGCCACAACGCCTGGTTTAATCTACAGACTCCTAGCATCTCCCACCTAAGCAGCAGCAGCTGAAACAAGCAGCATCTGTGATAAAGGAGTCACAATTCAGATTGGGAAGAGTTAAGGCTCTGCTGCTTCCAGGAATGTCAAGATAAAGTTCGCAAATGACAGATTAGAGATTTTGTGAGTGAAATGTTCCTAAAAGGTGAGGAAAAAAGGAAAAACAACCTTTGATATCTTCCAGAAAGCCTCAGGCTTTTATGAAGCTATGTGGGAATCGGAGGGGGAAGTAATAATTTAGTTGGAAAAACTTAATCCATGTTTGTTCTGATCTAATCTCTGGATCCAAACTGGATTATGGACTCTGTGGAAGCACTTTCTTTGTGGAGAGGAAGTCCTGGAACCAGGATTTAGGCGGAAAATCAGTTCTGAACCTCAGAGATCTAAACACTCTTAAATGTACCGAGAGACATTTATTGGTTTAAATATTGTTGTGGGTCAATAAAAAGGCTGGATCAGCAACTGGAGCGGAGTGGTTAAGGTCAAGGTTGGATTCTCGGGAATAAATCCTGCTACCTGTTCAAAGTGCTGAACTGAGAATTAAAATTATACCAACTGGGTTTATTGGTTTTGTCAAACGAGATGCATTTGTTATCTGAATAAAAACTTCTGTGGTTTGATGGAGGAGATAAAGTCGCTTCATGCGTGACTGACCTTCACTTCTGCACTCTAAAATGTCTTCTGTCAACTCAAAGCTTCATAGGTTTAAAAGAACATAAGAACAAAAAATCCTCTGGTCATTTTTTTTTTTGCTAGCCTTCTCTTTTCCTGCGTCCCCTAAACGCACCACACGCACACCTGTGTGACTGTCACCTGACGGTCAGAACAAAACCGACGGACGTTTATTTTTGAGCGCAAAAAGACCCTCTTCGGCTCCTGTAACGTAGCTTAGAAGGCCAAGCAACATTTAAACGGGTTTTATTGCTATTAGCTCCCACACACGCCAAACTCCATTAAAAAAATCACTCATTTAAGGTTTCTGCGGTGCTCCTCTGAGTTTCCATCTGTTAGCTGGAGGCATCACGCCCTGTTCGCCTCTCTGCCTCTATTCGGCCTCCCTTCCATCACCTCCTCCTACTCCTCACCTGCTGTGCTGCGGGCGACTCCGGGAACAGGTCCTCCCCGTCCTCCACCTCATGGAAGTCTGTGTGCAGCGGCGGAGGTTCCCTGGCTGTGTCCGTCATGCTGGCGTCGTTTCAGCGGGCTGAATGTGACGAGAGGCAGTGAGAAAACCGAGAACTGACAGGAAGAGGAGCGGGAGTCAGGCGGTTCTCCCTGCTGTGTCATGTGACCCACGGCTGTCCTGCTGGGAACCCGAGAGGGGTGGGAAAAACGCGAGGTCTCACTCCGCTCCGAGTTTAAATGAGATCTTATAGAGAAAATAACTCAGGGACGAAAAAGAAAATCTTTAAGTCTAAACTATAATAATGAGTAAAAATTCTACTTCATTTTGAATTACATTAAACATAGAAACTATTTAACAATTGTGGCACAGAGAAAATAGATTTAAATAGAAAACTGTTTTCTTTCATCACAGACTCTGTTAGTTTATTTTCCAGAATTTGTTTAAAGTCATAAGCATTAAATAAATAAACATACGAATATAATACAAGGGTAGTTGAAAACATAAGTTCGTACATTGGAAAATAATAATAATAATAATCATCATCAAACTCCATCATACATCAGTGACCTGATTGTTCCATTCGTTCCTAACTGAGCACTTCGCTTTCAGACTGCAGGTTTACTGGTGGTTCCCAGAATATCTAAAATTAAGATGGGAGGCAGATCTTTTAGCTATCAGGCTCCTCTCCTGTGGAACCAGCTCCCAGCCTTAGTCCCTGAGGCAGACACCTTGTCTACTTTTAAGACTAGGCTAGTGCAAAAATGTTGATAATTGAGTAGATTACCTTCATTATCCACTAGATGAGTCATGGACACGATAGCTCTATTAAACCATTCTCTAAAAAAATAAAGCTTTATTGCAGTGCAGAACATATCGGTTGTTCCAGATTATTGCAGAGTGCGGTGAAAAATGATGTGTGTATATTCATTTCCAATTTAATAAGATTTGTTTATGGAAGTCTGATAATGTTTAAAAGTCTGAGATGAGTAGTATTTTCAAACCACCAAGCTGAATAGGAAATTGGGGCTACAATACCAAAATGAACTAGGGTGTTTAATCCAGGATTTTAACCCATTTATTTTTAAGGTTCCATTAAGGCAGTCTAGATCGATAACTTTAAGGCCGCCATCCTCTATCTCCTTGACTAATATGCTCTTTTTAATATAATGTGGCCTGTTTCTCCAAATGAAATTTAAATTAATCCCATTGAAAGACTTTATTGCATTGCTTGAGATAGCTTTTGAATAGAGGGGAGAAATACACCTTGAAAGGCTTTCCATTTTTGTTTAGTAAATTCTGCCTAATATTGATAGATCCCTTTGAATCCACGAGTTCAATTTTTGTTTGCAGTCTTTTAATTTATTTTTAGTGTTTAACTGCTGACTCATTTTATAATCCTTAGGTGGATGCTGAGGTATTTAATATGTGTTTTGATAGGAATTTGACTGATTTCTGTAAGAGTAGTATTGTGGAGTGCAAAAAGTTTGCATTTATTTAGGTTTAAAATTAACCCTGATGCTTTGGAGAATTTATTAATAATTTGTATAGCATTAGGAATCTGATGCCTATCTTTCATAAATAATGTATCATCCGCTAACTGGCTAATGATAATTTTTGTACCAAAAACGTTTAGAAGCTTTACATTTTTGCAGTTTTTAACGTGAATTGCTAACAACTCTGTTACCAAAATAAACAAATACGGTGAAATAGGACAACCCTGTGGAATACCAACGTTAACATCACAGTTAGGAGTAGAACCGCTTGAGAGGACGACGCAACTATTAATAATTTTATAAAGACCTTCACTCAAGTTTATAGATTTGGGCCCAAAATTAAATAATTTAAGCGAGGAGAAAATAAAAGCGTGCTCTACTGAGTCGAAGGCTTTATAGAAGTCCAAGAAAAGAAGGAAGCCGTCATCTGCAATTTGTTCACTATATTCAATTATGTCCATAGCAAGTTAACAAGAATCTGTTTTACAACAAAATGAAAATGTGCTCTGATAAAAACCTCAACCAGACTAAACCTCACACCGAATAGACGATCTTCGTAAGGAAGCATCTGTTTACGTGTTGCAGCCGGATCGTTTTCAGCGACACACAATCACTTCCGTGTAACTTTGTTGTCGGCTGTAACGTTTAATTTACCTCCATTATTGATTTTGGAGTTTTAAAACCCCGGTTTGATAAACCAGAGGCGTTAATCCAGTGTGATTAAAGCCGTGTTTGTGTATCTATTATTTGGGGGCAGCCGGAAGTGTTCGGGTCCTTTAGGATGGATGATGCTAGCGGGCAAACAGCTAATGATGCTAGCGGGCAAACAGCTAACGTGCCGTGTGAGAAGCCCGAACATATCCCAACAGAAGAGAAGTCGTTACTAGAGCGGTACGTGGAACCGGACCTACTTTCGGACTCGGACCTGTACTTGGACCCGGACCGGAACTCCGACCTGGACCTGGACCCAGACCCGGCTAATGCGAAAGATAACGGTAAAGTGTTTCTTTCTGGTTGTTTCAGCTGTAAGTGTTTAGCGTGGGTTTGGGTTTGTTGATGCAACTCGGCCGAGGTTGGCTTCAGATTCTTCATTTGGGTAAAGGAAAATGTTTACTGGATGAGTTAAGTTCGTTAAAATACTAAAGTTATTCAAACCTGGACCTGATTGTTGAATATTTAACTTGGAAAATGCTTTAAACACGACTTGGCTGCCAACCAAAGAGCTGTTTAGAGGAGTCCATCATAAGGAGAGAGCCCAAAAAGAGTCTAAAGCTGGATTCATCCTCAAAGTTTGAGTCTGAACCTGTCCCAGGTGTCTAACAAACCCCCAAATCCCATTTTAACGCAACTAAAACTATCGATCATCTCATAAAAAGAATGGATTCCTAATTCATAGAAGTTTATTCGTCGTTCTTTCCTGTTTTTGTCTCCTTGTCGTTTCACCTCAGATGCGACACATAACTGTCAGGCGGTACAGGTGGGCAGCACAGTTTCAGAGTCCGCTGTTAACACGCAGTCGGACTGGGAGAGCCAGGTGGCGGCCATATTTGAGTACAGCTGTAAACTGACGAAGGAGTACAACCAGCTGCTAAAGAAAAAGGAGGAGGAGACGCAGGAAAAGGAGAAACACAAACAGCAGCTGCAGAAGAAGAAGGAGGAGACCATCCAGCAACACCAGGTGGGACTGGAGGAGCCCTCGTGCTGCTTTGGAGGCTCAGCAGGGTCTGACCTTTCTGTGTTTTCAGGCTCTGCTGGGAAAACTGGAATCTCTTCGGGTCAAACTTCAGCTGAACGATTCCAAAGCCTCCAGGAAGAACTTCTTAAGCAAGAAACAGGAAATGACTTCAGAGAAGACCAGAGCAGAGGAGGAGAGGAACAGGTGAGTTGATTTTAAACTTCAGAGTCCTAGGGTTGTCATGGTGTGAAAATTTAACCTCACGGTGATTGTGACCACAATGATCACGGTTTTCGGTATTATCACGGTATTTTTTAAAACGCGTTACGTTTTCAGACAACTACATAAACCCCGTATATCAGGAAAATATTGTCCTCAGTTTGTGTCTAAATTTTGCCTAAAATGTGTTATTTTGTAATTATGTTGTTTATTTGTTTACATTTTCCCCTTTAGTCTTTAAAATACCAATATTTGCCCATAACTTCTTATTTTTTGTCTGTTTGATGTCATCATTTAAAAATATTACATCAGGTGATACTCAGTACTTGAGTAGCCTTCTAATCAGATACTTTTTTACCCTTACTTGAGTAATAAACCCTATATCAGGAAAATATTGTCCTCGGTTTGTGTCCTTCCAGTGAGCTTTGCAGATGTGGGAAAATGTCATCAGGCAGTAATCGTTGTAAAATTCATAATTATTCTCGGAGAGAGACCAACTCTTATCTGCCCCTGGGAGCCCCGTAATGCATAGCGTCATTTCAACATGGGGGTGTCCGCGACACGGTTTATATGCAGGTAGCGGCGCTGCGGCTGCTTTATATAGCGACTCGTTGCATTCTCCCTCAACCCAAATCCTCGGATCACACATTTTAGCTAAAACGCTAACGTTAGCTTGCCTTGCGTTGACTGTAGAGTTGTGGGTGATGATGGTCACGCAGATGTGTCATGAGATTTGAAGCGTTGCTGCCTTTCACAGACACTTTTTCTGCACGTGCTGCAAACAGGATAGCCGTCTTCTATCAGCTGTCCCTCGGCATTCTTCAGATATACAAAAAATGTCCGTACTTCCCACTTTGTCTTCTTTGAGGGATAATAAATGTCCTGAGCGCTGCCGTCTCCTCCTTTGGCCATTATTTCAGCTTTAGCTTCAATGAAGTTTTGGTTGTAAACAACAAAGTGCGCATGTGCCGCCGACAACTTCAGCAGATGATACGGTGGCTGGTAAGGGTCACCGCGCCTACACCGCAGCCACGGTAACCCACCGAGATGATATAGTTTTAAAAAAAAACAAGACGGTTATTATTGTCAACTTTTTTACCGGGGTTTACCGCTACACCGGTTACCGTGACAACCCTACTTCAAACAAGAATGACCTCCAACTGCACTGGAGCCAGTAGACACACATTCCCCGTTTCATCTGTTTTAACTGGTCACCTTGTTCCTGCCACACAGGAACGTTGTTTAACTCCAAATGTGACCTTTGACCTGTCAGAGTGCATCCAAAACAAACTGAAAAACTTAAACAAACAGTCCTTCATCAGGCCAGACTTCAGAGAGAAATGTTAAAATACTTGTCTGGGTTTTAACTGGAGTCGGACGAGAAAAGCTGAACGAGCTGTGAGGGTCCTCTGATACGCTGCTGTTCTAACGGACCCCACCCCACCTGTCTGTCGCGCCTTCAGACTGGTCAAGGAGATGGAGGAGAGCGACAGGAAGCTGTCGGCGCTCAGATCAGAGCATTACGTGGAGCAGCAGAGGTGGAAGGATGAGCTGGAGGAGCTGAGGCAGGAGATGGAGCGAGTGAGGAGGAAGGCACAAGCGACCCAGCTGCAGGCTCTTCGGGACGAGATCACGGCGGTGGAGAAGCAGAGAGACGTCGCCATGTCTCACATCGAGGCCTGGTTTGGCGAGGTTTGGACCCACAGAACCAATCGGCTTTGGTGTCTCATTTACATTTTGAGTCGGAAGCTTCTGTTTTAGCCCGTTTATAAACATGTTTTGGTCCGTGAACGCCCCTCCGCTAGGCGCTAAATCCTGCTAGCGTTAGCGGAGCTTCTAGAGGAAGTTTTTACCTCAGAATCAGAATTTTTGTGTCAATCAGAAACTTTTTTTTAGTTTGTTTTGTTTTATTTTGTCTGAAGATGATTTATTCTCTAACCGTTACTCGAATCTGAGCGGCAGCAGAGTCTGTGGACCGGTTAGAACCAGTTCAGGTCTAACAACCCGCTCCTGTTCTCACCTGACCCAGGTGACTCAGTACCTGAACGTTCTCCGGGTGGAGTTCCCGCAGCAGTACCACGCGGAGCGGGCCAAGTGGGAGAAGAAAGAAGGTATGGTCCGTAAAAACAAGGTGGAGCTCCAGAACCGCGTCCAGGAGGTTCTGCAGCAGATCCATCAGGGTCGGGAGTTGGAATCCCTCCCCAGGATCAACATTCCACCTCTGCCCCAGATTCCCTTGGTGAGTCTCTGGAAACCCTCTCGGGTCGGGAAGATCTGCTCTGGTTTAATTCCCACCTTCCATCTTCTCTCCCGCAGGCGGATCTTAGATTCTGTCAGGTGATGCAGTCTTTGGCCCCGCCCCCTCCTCCACACCCACCCCCCCTACAAAGACATCCTCACTACTACCCGCCACGCCACCACCACCCTCCCCCCCACCACCCTCACTACCGCGGGTCCTTCCGCCCCCCGCCCCGTCTGTACTTCCAGCCCCCCCCAGTACACCTACACCAGCCTCCGCCCCCCTTCCATGCAGTCCAGCCTCCCCAGCATCAGTTCCAGGCTCATATTAGGGCCCCACCCAGGGTGACTCCCCCTCCCAGTCTGTCCCCTTCTCCCCCTGTGGCCCCCTCCCCGCCCCCCTCTGTGGCCCCAGCTGCCCCCGCCGATAAACTGGAGAAGTTTCTGGAAAAGCTGGGGGCGAGCTTCCCTCGGTGCAGCAAGGCTCAGCTGACGTCGCTGCTGCAGCAGGTGAAGAGTTCCCGAGGAACGCTGGCAGGAATGTCCATGGATGACATCATCGAGCAGGTCGGCTTCAAGCTGGTTCAGAGCGAGAGGTCGGTGCCGGGGCCCATCAGCAGGCCAGCTCCAGTGGGGCCCATCCAGAGACCGGCCCCTCCCCTTCAGAGAGCCGCTGCTGCCGCAGCACCTCTGCCTTCCGCCGGAGCCCGGAAGCTCTGCCTGATGTGCCAGAACCACGTGGACCCGGAGAGCCGGTACCCGCTGAGCTGCTCCCACGCCATCCACAAGGACTGCATCCAGATGTGGCTCCAGTCCAGCAAGAACAACTCCTGTCCCTTCTGTCCAGCGAAGTGACCCAGAACCAGGAGAACTGACCCAATCAGACCTTCATCAGATCCTTTTGTTTGGACCTCTAGTTCTGTTTGTTCTGGAGTTCAGATGTTTCAGACTCTTTCTGCGTTTATTTTGTTTTATTAATTCTTTGTTTAAAACTAACCTCAGAAACTTGAAATGTGAAACGTTCTGCGGTTCTGGTGTTGGAAGGAATCTTTTGGCCAAAGATTGTTCTGTTTATTCTTTTAGAAAAATAAAATAAAACAAAACGAAATGGACTGATTTTAAAGATCCCACCGGTCATATGCAGCTAGAGCAAATAACCCTGGCTACTAGGGCTGTAGCGAAGCCTCGACGAAGTCGACGGCTCGATTCTAAAAATTTGTCGACGTCAGATCCGGAAGTCGACGCACCGCGCCCACTTGTTGCATCCCCAGGAGTTTGTAAATAGAGGAGGAATCTGCCTGTTTTTCCTCTAGTTCGCCCTCTTCTCCGCCTTCACTAACATCTCGGCCAAATACCGAAGACCCGGAACAACGTCCGTCCACTACTAGATTATTTTCCTGTTTTGCCCCTTCGTCTCCCGGCAACGGACAACAACTTCCGGGGTCAGATGCGCTGCTTCGTGCCTATCGCAGATGTAGAAAATCACCGGGAGCGTTTCTCCCTTCATAAAGGAGCTTCTTTCGGATACGAGGAAAGCTGTTTTGGTGGTAGCAGTCTCTCCTCCGTGCTGGTCTGTTTGCTGCTGGGTGTTTTTGGTTTATTTAAACTTGGTAACTTGAACTTAACGTTGGTAAAGCTACTGTTAGCATCTTCGCTAACAGCTTCTTGCGTTGGGATAAGCTGTTACGTTTTGGTTTAGAGTTCATCTTTTTTGTGGTGCAGATCTCACTTTTATTACAGTTAGAGTGTTGTGGGTTTTCGGTTTAGTGTAAAATATCACCTGAGTTTGTTTTAACCCGTAAGACCACTCGCCTCACGCACATAAGTGACCAAAACAAAGCAGTATGGAGACACTCCATCTTCTACCACCTCTCAGGCAGCAGCCTGCACTCCCAAGTTCTACACGTCACCAGAACATAACCAACCGCAACACAATAAACGCAGTGTTATACAAAATGGAAGGCCTGTAGTGTTTATTCTCTTACAGTAAGAATTTATCAATTTTTTTGAGGAATTTATTTGAGATTTTCTGGTTTTTGTTAATTGTGCAATAGAAAAATAATCATTAGATTAATTTTCTAAATAGTCATTAGAATAGTCGACTATTCGATAAAATAATCGTCAGAATAATCGTTTTAAAAATAATCGTTTACCCCAAGCCCTACTGGCTACTACATGTCCTGCTGTATCTTCCCTTGTCAGGAGTCACGACTCAGCATTTTAATCAGATGACTTCATCAGCTGAGCGCAGCTTCATCAGATAATAAAGATGAACGGTAGCATTCCTTTCCCCAAGGTTCCTCACAAGAGAACTCCAGTTAAATGGAGAAAAGAAGATTTTATAATTAAACATTTTATAATTCAAAATAATCATTGAAGAAAAAATATTTTATGATTAAAAATCACTACATATTGCCATGTATAATTAAGCAATGAAATGTTCAGGAGTCTGTATTCAGTGATGGTTTAGTATGTTTACAGGATGTCATCATTACACCAGACAGAGAGTAAGGTTAAGATTAATGGGCTCGACACACGGGAGGCGACATCGCCTCTCCTCCATTCATTTTCAACGAGACATGCGCGACAAAGCGATAATCGCGGGTCTCTCTCCTACCAAGCGAAACGCGAAAAACGTGTTTGTGAAATTTTGCGCTCGTGCACGGACGACCCAGCGACGCGATCCCAGAAAGTTGAAACATTCTCAACTTTTCATCGCTGTCGCTCGGACGAGGACCGATCAACGGAGGCTTCATTCACTGACCAATGAGCGGACAGGATGCTCCGTACACCTCCGAGCAAACATGGAGAAGTTGATTATTATTATGTTTTATAGTAAAATCAGAAGTAAGATTTCACATAACTCTAGCAGCACCTTGTGAAACATCATATCTACCACTTTATTAACTCTGAACCGCTTAAATAACCTTAATTCCCTCCAACCTGACACAGCCAATCAAAACAACAGAAGTTTCGATTTCGCCATGGAACAGAACGCGTAGACTGCTGGCCGCGGGTCGCCTCCCGTGTGTCAGGTAATGACAGCGACAAATTTCGTTGATCGCGGTCATTTGTCGCCTCCCGTGTGTCGAGCCCATAAGAATGCGTGACACATAACTAACCTTGTCCCTAGACCCAGAGACTCTGTCTCAAGAGCGTGCGTTTCTGAGATTCTTGGTAAGTTTGGTCATAGATATCAGCGGGTATATAAACCAGCCACTCTGCTTTCTCAGTAGTCGGGAGACAAAGCTAGAGACTGGCCATCTCTTAGCAGATCTCTAGCTCAAAGATTTTGACACGCTGTCAAAACCTTAAAGCTTTTTGCATCTGCAAAGCTGAACAACAAGATAGTTTTCCTGCAGAACAAAGCTGACTCAAACTCCAGAGTTGATTTTAAGACACTTGGTTCCATTCATCTATTGTTGTGACTCGGAGACATCGGAGGACTGATTTGGTTGCATCGAGGTTTCTCTACGAACCAGGTGCAGTGGGGTCGTCGGCTCCTGGACATCTCGGGTCCAAATGGGTGAGATGGACGCAACAAGATAGTCTGCATGTGGTTCTGATAATAGCAACTTCATAGTTTAGATGCAAACCAAATTCTTTTATATCCAGAACGTACCTCTCTGAAGATACGGAGATTCTGATTCATCACCTCATATTTTGAATGAATGAAATCTTTATTTCGAACATTATAATAAAAATAACTATTATAACAATAGTAATAATAAGTCATTGTAGACATTAAAAATCACACCGATAATCACACAAAAATTAAATTATCATGTTCTGTTCGAAAAGGAGTAGGAGGAAGCTAGTGCTTATTAAATCCTACCCCCCTTTTCCCATTTATTCAAGATCAAAATGAACAATGTCGTCCTAATTCATCATAAATTTTCAAAATTCATCTATAATCAAACTGCCCATGCAAAATTGTTCTACATACCTTTTCCATTTATCCACCACACACCGCGATTAACATTCCCTACTACACATACTTACAACACACCCCATTTTCTTCTGTACACACACCCTCACACAGCTCATTGGATCTTTTTGAGTCAAACTCCCTCTTCCTCTCTGTACCTCATGAAGACCATATTTTTGTACCATTTTTTAAATTGGGTCATACTTGGACATTGCTTTAAATCACTATTTAATCCATTCCATAATTTTACTCCACAAACAGAGATGCACTGACTTTTACTGCTGCCAAAAAGTTATCAAAGCTTGATCAACTGTAAATAACAATATAAAAGTATGTATATATATATATATATATATATATATATATATATATATATATATATATATATATATATGAGTGACAAAGAGCACTAAAATGTAAACCAGTGAAGTTAGTAACCTATATGTGAATTAACCCCATAAGGAATTAAGATTAGTGAAATATTAACTAATTTGGATAACACAACAGTGTAATATACACACACACAGCAGTAGCTCAGGAGGTAGAGCAGGTTGCCTCATGATCGGAGGGTCATGGGTTCGATTCCAGCTCCCGCCAGGGGTATCCTGCTGTTGTGTCCTTGGGCAAGACACTTCACCCAACTTGCCTGTGTTAGTGGTGGTCAGAGGGGTCGACGGCACCAAATGGCAGCCTCGCCTCTGTCAGACCTCCCCAGGGTGGCTGTGGCTACAAGTAGCTTACCATCACTAGCAGTGTGAGAGTGTGTGAAAGCGTCTTTGGGGGTCTAGAAAAGCGCTATATAAGTTCAATGCATTATTATTATATACATATATATATATGTTGATGGTACACACACACACACACACACACTGTCGATGGTACACACACACACACACACACACAGTCGATGGTACACACACACACAGAGTTCTGAGATGATTTCATTCACTGTTCACGACTTCAAGAGCAAGTCACCCTGTACCAGAGTCTTACTCAACTCCCACTTCCTGTTTGAAAAATGCAACAAATGCTGTTGCCTAGCAGACCGTGAGGGTGGAGCCGCCAACAAATACACACACGCAGGCTCCCAATGAAATTGTGACATCATATGGTACCAGCTAACATTCTAGGGTACCTCTTAGCCAACAGCGATGTCGGTTTAACCTGAACCTGTCATCATACCTGAGGCTGTTCATATCAACTTTGGTCTAAACTGTAACTAATGTTGAGAAACTTCTGCCATCAGCAGGTGCTCTAGAGTGGACCCTTGTTGTAAAAACTGCTGCTCAGGCCCCAGGAGTTTCCAGTGGCGCTGACCGCTGTATCTACAGGAACTTTGTGATATTTCACCGCCTGCTCGGTTTACACGACCAGGCCCAACCGCTGGGAAAAGGAAAGGGCTTCCAGCAATAAGCTGCTTCACACCCATGTGACCCACGGGCTGTTCTGGATATCAACTAGAAGGCAGTATGGAGGATTCCCCATTATTATTTATTAATGAAGTAAAAGACGCGTCATTTAAAAGCCTTCATAAAAGGCACCCTGCAGAGCACTGCGTGGTGAACTTCTTGGGTTACTCATCCTTCCACACAACGGCTTTAGAACAAGGTCGTTGGTTTATTATTCAGCACATGTTCAGGATTTCTCTTTAGATGGACAAATGTGTTACTTTGCTTTTTAAAACCCCCAAAAGAATGGTTAATCTATACTGCCCCCTGCTGGTCGCAGTCCGAACCGAATCCAGATGTTCTGGAAGAAACCGCTCCGGATTATTCAGATGTGAATAATCCGTTCATTAATTCTTTAAATGTGTGTGTGAATGTGTGTTCCTGTGTGTGTTTGTGTGTGTGTGTACATGACATGTGTTTGTGTATGTGAGTATTTGTGTGTGTGTGTGTGTGTGTGTATGTGCGCGCATGTATGCCTGTGTTTGCACATGACATGTGTGTTTGTGTATGTGTGTGTGTGTAACTGTGTGTACACCTATTTTTATATGTTGATAGTGTGCATGTTTACCTGTGTGTGTGTGTGTGTATGTATATGCTTGTGTGTGTGTGTGTGTGTGTGTGTGTGTGTGCATGTATGCCTGTGTGTGTGCGTGTGCATGTGTGTGTGCATGTATGCCTGTGTGTGTGTGTGTGTGTGTGTGTGTGTGTGTGTGTGTGTGTGTGTGTGTGTGT